GTGTCTACATTGGCGCGATCTTGCGCAAAAGCGCCCGCTTTTATGTAAAAACATGCTGCCTGTTTACACTGGTGGGGAGTTCTTGCACAAGAACACTGACGTTCTAATGTGTGAAATCAGTGCTTCTTGTGCAAGAACTCTGATGCTACCGCTCAGGAAAAAGCCCTCTTGCACAACTGTTCTTGCGCAGGAGGCCAGTGTAGACAGGAAACATGAATTTATTGCGCAAGAAAGCCTGATAGCTAAAATGGCCATCGGAGCTTTCTTGCGCAAGAGAGCGTCTACACTGGCACGGATGCTTTTGCGCAAAAGCACATCTCTTGCACAAAAGCACATGCCAGTGTAGACGCGCTCTTGCGCAAATACTTTAACGCAAAAACTCTTGCGCTAAAAGTATTTACGCAAAATCTTGCCAATGTAGCTGAAGCCAAAAAGTTTCTGCATTGTCTTTATTTATGAGAAGAGCAGGGAATCTGTTTTGAGTCAGGGATCACTAACCCACAGAAAAAGTCAGTTGGGGCCACACAAGTGAGATGCAAAATAAAAACTCCAAAACACCCACAAGCCTCACTAATGTGGCCCCAAGGGACATGGTATTGGGGAAGGGTGCCAGGGGGTACCGGGACAGGGTGCTGGGTAGGGTGCCAATGGGTGCTGGGGCAGGGGCCAGTGGAAAGGGACAGGGTGCTGGGCAGGGCAGGATGCCAGCGGGGGCAGGGAGCAGAGTGTTGGCTTGAGCAGGGAATCCTCAGCATGTGCCTTCCCCCCCTACCCAGAGGAGGGAAGCTCTGGCAAGAGCCTCCTTCCAAGACTTCTCCCTTCTCCCCCGCAAAGGAGGAAAGCCACAGTGCACATTTCCCCTCAGGGACTCCTCCCCGGCACACGCTTCCACACACTGGGCAGGGTGTCAGCGGGGGCAGGGAGCAGGGTGTTGGCTTGAGCAGGGAATCCTCAGCATGTGCCTTCCCCCCCTACCCAGAGGAGGGAAGCTCTGGCAAGAGCCTCCTTCCAAGACTTCTCCCTTCTCCCCCGCAAAGGAGGAAAGCCACAGTGCACATTTCCCCTCAGGGACTCCTCCCCGGCACACGCTTCCACACAGGACTCCTATCTCCTCCCCCACTGAGGGGGGGGGGAGGCCCTGGTGTACGCCTCCCCACCCCAGGACTACTACCTCCTCCCAGTGCACGCTTCCCCCTGGGACTCCTCCCCCCACTTCCGGGCCCAAGCTTGCCCTCAGGACTCCCCTGCTCTGTGGGGGAGGAGGTAGGAGTCCTGGTGTGCGCCTCTCCTCCCCTCCACCTCAGTATGCGTCTTTCTCCGGGACTCCTACCTCCTCCTGGCGCACCACAGACCTGGAGGAGGGGAGCAGGCAGCGCACTTCTGGAAACCCCAGGAGTGGCACGCAGCTGCCGGACTACCCTCACCCCGCGGGAAGCCGGCACTACCTCAATTTTCAGAGGTAGGTAGTGGGGCTTCTCACTTCCGGGCCCAAGCTTGCCCTCAGGACTCCCCTGCTCTGTGGGGGAGGAGGTAGGAGTCCTGGTGTGCGCCTCTCCTCCCCTCCACCTCAGTATGCGTCTTTCTCCGGGACTCCTACCTCCTCCTGGCGCACCACAGACCTGGAGGAGGGGAGCAGGCAGCGCACTTCTGGAAACCCCAGGAGTGGCACGCAGCTGCCGGACTACCCTCACCCCGCGGGAAGCCGGCACTACCTCAATTTTCAGAGGTAGGTAGTGGGGCTTCTTCGGAGTGGAGGGAATTGGGGGGCCCCGAACGCCTCGCGATCAACTGGTCGAGCCCTCCCGATCGACCAGTCAATCACAG